TAACATTTTTATTTTTTTTTTTTTTTAATTATTTATATACTGTTACAGTATCTATTAATATTTAAAAATATAGCTGTCAAATATTTAACATTTTTATATTTCTATTTTAGTTTATATTAGTGTTATTTATATACTATTAAAGTATTTATTATTATTAAAATATATTATCGCTTTATTATTTCTATTTTTACGTTTCCATTTCAGTGTTATTTTAGTATTCTTTATATACTATTATAGTATTTATGAATATTTTAAATTTACTTTTATTTTTACATTTTCAGTTTGTTTTATTATAAGTTTTAGTGATTTTGTCATTTTTATTAGTGTTTGTTTTTTTAAATATTTATTTCAGCTTTACTTTTAGTGATTTTAGTACTTTAAATTATTTGACTTCATTTCTAAGTAATACTTCTAAAGGGGGGAGATCTTCATTTTCTTTATGCAAAATGTATGTTTTAATCTTTTGATCTTTGGGGTGAAATATGAGACCAGTTCTGGACATCTTTCGTGTTCGTGTGACTCTGAAGGGCTGAAACAGTCTGATGCTGTGACTCTCAATGCCAGTGCTTTCTGTGAAGCTGAAGATGTGTTGACCTTGACCGAGCAGCTGGCAAATTTGAAAGGTGTCTCTGTGTTGGAGGAATTCAGTACCAATGAATTGAAGTTTTCCAGTAAGTGTTAGGAAAGTAGTGTCATTATAGTTCAATCTTTACAGCTCCATTCTGCAGCAATTGGATTCGCAGGTTCCCATGACTGTTGAGATACGGCCGCCTGCTCATGAAGAACTCTATTTCAGCCAGTTTATAATGCAGGTCTGAGGTCTTCTGGGTAAAATAGATCAGTCATTCGACTCCAGGAGACGCTCTCAGTATCGCGGATATTCTGTTCAGCTCATAACATGAGAAAGAAAGCCATTTTTATCAAGTTATCAGCTTTGATAGGCTGCTGCAGACTCGAATGAGGCTCAACGGTCGCTCCTTCTCCGCTCAAGAGCCTTCAGTTATGATTCATCTCAAATATTTATTTAGTCATTTATCAGACGCTTTTATCCAAAGCGACTAATTCAATATATATATTTCATTTCCATTTAGTTTGTTGAAGTATTAAAATAACTCAAATTAAATAAAACTAAAACTTAATAAAAGACCTATACAGACATAATAAATTCAGACATCATTTAACTAAAATTAAAATAAATAACAAATACAAATAATACAAATCAAACGACAGTAGTTTATCAGTAATCCTAAAAAATAACACTGCCAAACTTACATGCTAAAAAACAACAACTTACTTACACATTGTAAGAAATGGTTATAAAAACTGAAACAGAAGCGAAACAAGTAATAGGAAAGAGGAGAAATAAAAAGCGATACTTATTAAACATCACTCTCGTTCTATTGGAGAAATACAAATAAACACGTATTGAGTTCATATTGAAGCTCATATCATGAAGATCTCTGACTTTGGTATCTGAGCACAGTTGTTTTGTTTTTTGTTGTTGTTTCCAACTTTTTTCAGCTATTGATTTTTTTCATTAGTTTAAGTTAACAACTTGCATTTTGATTTTATTTGAATTACTTTAATAGTTTTAGTTCTAATTAACAATACGAATATCAACACACTTCTGTTTTAAATTATGTAATTTTTTATATTTTTCATATTATTTTATTGAATATAATAGTTTTAATTTAATAGTATTTCCTTTAGTTAACTACAACACTTTTTGTTTTAAATGATTATTATTATTATTATTATTATTTGCTTATTTTAGGATCATTTATTTATTTATGTATTTTTTGCGTTTTTTTATTATTTTGATTAATTTAATGGCTTCAGATTTAGTTAACAATAACAACATTGTTCTATTTAAAATTATTAATATATTTTTTGCATATTTTAGGACCACTAAGATTTTTTTTGTTTTATATTATTATATAAATATTAACAATAACAAAATTGTTCTATTTTAATTTATTAATATATTTTTGTTGCATTTTTTTATTTTGATATTATTTTAATTAATTTATTTATTTTAGTTTAATAGTTTTAATTTTCTATTTTTAATTATTTCTATTTTTGCATATTTTAGCATCAAGTTTTTTTTTTGCATATTAATGACACAATTGCAATCACAAACTATAAGTGAATTATAAGTGTATTATAGTATTTTTTTTACTTTATTACAGTATTGAAAATAATTCTTAATAGTTTGAGACATTAAGATCTCATATAAGTACTTTAGATGAAGATTTAAACACAACTTTCCATTTGCTCTGATTTATGTCCAAGTAAGAAATATTATAGAAATGTAATAGTGATTTGTGTTTCGTGTAGATTGGTAACACGCTTGTCTTTGCCTCCTATAACTCCTGTTTTAACAGCATTTCCAACTTTTGCTTAAACATGGCACAGCTGGCATAGTGAGGTGTTCGCTCAAACGAATTAGCACTAAACCGCTGAGTACTAATATTTGGAGAGCGCATTATTTCTGTATTTATAGCTCATCGTCTGCAGGAAGAGATTGCAAAAAAACACAATATTCTTCCCCAAGCAATGACCATATAAAGGACAAAACGCTGTGAAAGACTGATAGCATCAGTGGAAGAAAAAGGGTCAGCGATCGTTTGTTTTTGAACGGAGGCTCGGGTTCGCTGAACAAAACTGCCTGCTGCAACTCAAACCCTTGATAGCATGCAAGAAGATTATGCTGTCTGCGTGATAAAAGCCGTCTTTTCCTGTAACTTTGCTGTCATTTAATGGCTTTTTCTCAGAGCCTTGACAGCTGTATGCTTTCAGATTCACACCTGAGAGTAAACTCTGCTTGCGTCTTCAGGAGGAACGGCTTCCAGACAGAAGGGCTTCCTGGGCTGCATTCGCTCGCTGAAGCTGAACGGGAAGACTCTGGATCTGGAGGAGCGGGCGGAGATCACGCCCGAAGTGACGCCCGGGTGTCCTGGACACTGCAGCAGCTACGGCGGCCTGTGCCAGAATCACGGCAGCTGTGTGGAGGATCACAGCGGCTTCACCTGCGACTGCAGCCTCTCGGCCTTCACCGGCACCTTCTGCCATAAAGGTACTGAATCTCAGGAGGTTCAAGGTGGTTTTTACTCCAATAGTAGGGCTGGGCAATGCATTGATATCAGGATTTATCAAAGAATTAACATAAATCAACTTTCTAATTTCCGCACGCTGTAGCCTGTATCCTTTCATATCAAAGCACGAAATAAACTACGTGCATGCTATGCTGTGGTCAGTTAAGTCATGAAGTTACCAAAAAGGCGATTAAAGCCGCCTTAAAAGTGTGCATGCATGTAATATATTTTATATGAGTCACATTTAAGAACATATGTCTGAAATGGTTTTCAAAACTGGCCTCGAGCAGCCCAGCACTGTCTCGCTCATCTAACACACCCGATGTAACTCGTCAGCTCATTAATAGAGACTTTCAGACCTGAAGTGGGTCAGAAAAGGTCAAAACAGTTGAGAGAAAATATGATACGTGTCAGATCCGCGTCATGTTCAGCAGCGGCAGCTCTTAAAGAAATAGCAGCCAAAACAACCTAATAACCAGCTGCTGTGATGTCTATTAATCAAAGGACAAAGAAAAAAAGAGGAAAACATAACTTTTAATTTAGAATTTAGTGTTTGATCATTTAAATTTCTGTATATTTCTGCTGAAGGGCACAGGTAAATATGACATTTATTATAATGAGTTTATGTGAAGATTGTTTTAAGTTCACTTAAATTAGAAGTTATTTTTTAAAGTCTAATAAATGTTAAAATTGATAGTTCTCAATTATACTGTAATGTTGAATGGCTATAGTCAATGGTTAAATATGAGGGGGGGGGGCAATTTTATAGAGAAATCAGTATTGGCATCATTGATACTGGCCTTTATGTTGTTTGTACATTAATTTGAAGATTGAATGTGAAATTATTACAATATAAAAGTATATTTAAAAATGTTAATGTTAGGTGGGATTAATCACGGTTAATCGTGATTAATTTCAGAAAAATGTGTGATTAATTAGTAAAAAAAAATGTATCGATTGACAGCACTAATTTTAACAAAGCAAATGTGGTTTGTTGTTGTTGTTGTTGTTTTTTTGCCCTGACAGTAGGTCTGGGCAACAAAACAACATCGATATTTATTAAAATAAATAAATAAATAAATGTACAATAAACTATAATAAACTTCATCTCCAGACTTTATGAGCATTTCATTTAATAAAAGCTATCATAAAATACACTGAAACTGAAATATTCACACAGATATTTTACTCAAATAAAATAATAATAATAATAATAATGACATTTTGCTAACTAATGCTTTCTATTTTCTCTTTTATTTTCATGTTATTTTGGTATATTTTATATACTATTATAGTATTTATTAATATTTTGAATTAGCTTATTTTTATATTTTCAGTTTTCGTTTTACTTTACCTTTACCTTTACATTTTAGTAATTTTGTTATGTGCTTTAGTCATTTTATTAGTTTCTTTTTATATATATTTACTTTTATTTGTTATTTCTTTCAGTAATTCTAGTACTTTAACTTATTTCAGTTAGTTTTCAAGGCACCAGTTCTAATTTTCACTTTTTACGTTTAAGTTTTTCATCAAGTTTTATTTTATTTTATTTTATTTCAGTTACCAAAAATGACTTTTAACAGTTCTCCAGGGCTGCACTTCATGAGCATTTTACTGTTTCATTTATTTGCTAATTTCATTTATTAATTTATTTAAAGCAATCGTAAAATATACTGACACTCAAAAGTCTTTGCAACAAACCACCAAAATAAAAGTTTGGTTTAACTTGATGAAATTATTACGGAAATATATTACTATTGTATAGTACTTTATCTTGACAAAAAAATTGTTAAGTATAAAATGTTAAAAATGTTTTGTTGTAAATGAATTACTACATTTTCATTTGATTACATTTCAAAAGATTGATTACATTTTTTAAGTTTTATGAATTCACTTCATTAGGCACCATTTTTTGGTGATAAATTGGTATTAAATCATTCAAATATAACTGTATTGAAACACAGAATCCATAAAAAATTAATTGGATTTCATGGGGCCATAATTAAAAATCTTATTTTGTGATGTAACAAACATGTAAAATATATTTATTTCCCCTATTAATGGTACATATTGATATAAAACTATACAGAAAAAAATATTTGATTATATTTTTGTCCATATTGCCCAGCCCTACCTGTAAGACAACATGACACAATGATCTTACACCATCTTATGATAGTTATGTATATCCATAATCCTAATCCCAGTGCGTTAAATCTCTCTTTTAGACGTTTCTGCCTTCTTCAAACCCGGAACATCAGTCATGTACACGTTCAAAGAGCCGTACGAGCTGAACAGGAACGTCAGCGCTCAGTCGTCCTCCATCTACTCTGATTTAACGCTGAGAGGAGAGAACGTTTCGCTGAGCTTCAGGACGAGCCAAGCGCCGGCGCTGCTGCTTTACATCAGCTCATACTACAGAGAGTTCCTCGCCGTCCTGCTCGACAGAAACGGTCTGAAACGCTCTGATTCTCCTCTCTAAGCACATTCACGTGGATTAGCTTGAGTCTGGGGAATCTCTCAACACACCAGCCACACTAAATTACTTCCTATATTGTGTGAAATCCTGCAAGAGTGAGGGAAAGCCGTGAAAGAAACGGCCGGTGGGGGACTTATTCCCTCGTGAGACTGCCACGCGTTCATGAGCGCGAGTAAACATGCATCTGTGATCTCACGCACCAGAAAAGCTGCATTCAAGCTCTGCATGCCAGATTCTCAGATGCTCTCTTAATTTAAAAAGTTACTCGACTTTCATCCAGAAAACACCAGCCTGACATCAGAGGCACATCATTTAGGCTTTCCTGTGCTATAAATCTGCCACGGCAAGGGAAATTATATTTTAGTCAAACTGCGCGTTTGCAGAATTAAATGTGATGAGAAACAGGCTGAGAGCCATGAAATAATGCAATAAACATTCAAGACCTCTTTCTATTGCGTCATCTTCACAAATCATACAGTGTAGGATGATTAAAAGACTCTTTTGAGACAGTTCTTTTAGTGAATCATGGCAAATTTGATCTTTATCAAACATGATGCAATAAAACCTTTTTTTTTCCATTTGCCACAAAATAATGCGAAGACAGTAAAAATACAAGACATGTTTCTATTGCATCTTTGCAAAACATAGAGTAACCAGTTGACACTTTTGAGCGGATTCTTTTAATGAATCGTGCAAAAAGACTCATGAAGTTTGATTTGAATCACTGTATCCTGACCAAACGTGATGCAGTAAAACCTTTTTCTCGTGTCAAAATTATATTTTACTTGAAAAGAAAAATGGATAAAAATGACACAACTGCATAACAAAATTATTAAAACTTAAACTAAAATTAAAATGAAATTACAAAAAAAAAGCTAATTCAAAATATGAATATATATTGATATAGTAATACTAAAATAGTTGTGAGTTTTCAGAATTAAACGTGATGATGGGATAAACAAGCTGCGAGCCACGAAGTGTCCCGGAATTGCGTATTCGTTGCAAATCATACAATGTAGTTTGATTAATAGATTCTTTTGAGACAGTTCTTTTAGTGAATCATTCAAAAAGATTCATGAAGTGTGATTTGAATCACTGTCGTAAACAAGCATGATGCAAGAAAACATTTTTTTCATGTAACAATTATATTTCAGCCACAAAATAATGCAAAGACAGAAATAATACAAAACGTCTTTCTATTGCATCTTTGCAAAACATACAGTATGACAAGTTTATTCATTTGAGCCAATTCTTTTAATGAATCATGTAAAAATGCTCATGAAGTTTGATTTGAATCGCTAACCAAGCACGTAAATCTGCATTTTCGTCCCAATGTTTTGTTTTAATCGTGTTCAGAAAAATATTAATTGTTGCTGGAAATGTATTGCATCATGTCAGGTTAGAACCAGAGTTTTTAACCGTTAACTAAAACTAAATCTAAACTAGTAAAAATAGTTTTCTATAGTTGAAATAGAGCTGTTATGAACTAAAATATCTATAATAGATGAAAAATGTAAAGTTAAAAAAATTTAAACGAAAATTTGAAATATTATCTTGGTGACTAACTGAAAATAAAACTAAAACAAATAAATTAAAGCTAAATAGAAATATTTAAAAGAAAGAAAATAGCAAACATATCAATTACAAAAACTTAAAACTAAAATTTTAAATAAAAAAAGTCAAAGATAATTCAAAATATTTATATATATATAGATATCAATATAACAAAGAGTGAAAAATTTAAGGGGGTCTGAATACTTTCCGTACCCACTGTATATATATAATACTAAAATAAGTTAGAACACAGCGTAGTGAATTACTTGAGCTTGTTGGAATGGATGCTTATATAAAATTGTGTAGATTTAGTTTTAATAAATACTATTTTAATTACAAAACATCAAAGTATGTTACCCAAAATAGTCTTGTTTTATTTGGCATGCTGTTAGGGCCAATTATTGTGGCGTCCCGCGCCGCCGCAGCAGCAGCAGAATTCAGTAAACTGTGGATCTGGCTCATCACGGCACACACAGAGAGCAAGCAGCAGACAGCTTGTGGCGTTAATACCTGCTAGTGCAATTATGCAGAAAGTCCATAACAGCCTCCAGAACCCCGCCGGCTGCTTTGACAGCTTCCTGTTCCTGTTGCATGCCATTTTTATTTATTTCTCAGTGTCCATATGCATTAATTAACAGGACAGTTCACCCAAAAATTGCAAGCAAAAGACAGCTGATCCATTAGCACAGAAACAAGCACGCTAACAGCCGTATAGCAACATGCCACGTTTAATATTTGTCACATGCAAAACCCACTCACACTGCCGTTCAAAAATTTGGGATCAGTAAGATTTGTAATGTTTTTTAAAGAAGTCTCTTCTGCTCATGAAGCCTGCATTTATTTGATCCAAATATTGTGAAATATTATCGTGATTTAAAATAACAGGTTTCTATTTGAATATACTTTAAAATATAATTTATTTCTGTGATGCGCAGCTGAATTTTCAGCATGATTACTCCAGTCTTCAGTGTCACATGATCTTCAGAAATCAGGGTTGGAAACAGTTTTGCTGCTTTTTTTTTTTTTTTGGAACCTGTGATACTTTTTTTTTAATTGTTTGATGAATAAAAGTAAAAAATAACAGCTTTAATACAAAATAGAAATCTTTTGGAACTATAAATATTTTTATAAGTTCAAAATTTTGGGGTCAGTACTTTTTTTTCTTCTTTTTTTGGAAGAAAATTATATTTTTATTCATCAAGGATGTGTTAAATTGATAAAAATGTGATAGTAAAAACATATTGTTAGAATAGATTTCTATTTTGGATAAATGCTGTTCTTTTGAACTTTTTTATTCATCATAGAATCATGAAAAATGTATCACAGGTTTCAAAAAATATTAAGCAGCAAAAATGTTTCCAACACTGATAACAAATCAGCATATTAGAATGATTTCTGAAGATCATGTGACACTGAAGACTGCAGTAATGATGCTGAAAATACAGCTGCGCATCACAGAAATAAATTACATTTTAAAATATATTCAAACAGAAAACAGTTATTTTAAATTGTAATAATATTTCACAATATTACTGTTTTTTCTGTATTTTTAATCAAATAAATGCAATCTTGATGAGCAGAAGAGACTTCTTTAAAAAACAAAAAATCTTACTGATCCAAAACGTTTGAATGGCAGTGTATGATTACATGTTTAAAAACTAGATTTGTAAAGAACTATTAAGTTCACCTGAGGTGATATGCATGATTAATTCCACGCATTAGTTTTTTAATTTATTTCCGCATCTGTTTTGTTTCATAGAGGATAAAATTTTAATCCTCTTAAGAAGAAGCTTTGTAGTTGCAAAACACATTGGCTTCTGTCGCATGCTGATGTTTACTGCGGTTAAACAGTGACTTTTTACCATATAAAGCCTGTTGAGAAATCCAATGCTCTTTGTTCTAAAGGACATTTGGACGTCAGGTACAAACTGCAGCACAACAGAGACGCGGAGGTTTTCCGAGCCAGCGGCAGGAATCTGGCCAACGGGCTTCTCCACCGCGTGAGCGTCCAGAGACTGACAGAGACGCTCAGTATTCAGGTACTTCGACGCCGCTCAAAGTCCACCTCTCTTATTCTGCATCAAAGCAGGACTGAAGGGACTTTCTGGCTATTCTCAACATACAGCATCTGTGACATGCTGTTGATTTCCATGGGAAATATGTTTGCAAAAATACACTGTTTGTTTGTTTGTTTGTTTGTTTGTAGTTACTTAAAATAAAATTTTATATATATATATATATATATATATATATATATTATTTTATTTTATTTCAAGTAACTAAAATGTTTTTGTTTTTTTATGGTTTTAGTTTTAGTTAACTATAATAACACTGCTTGAGTCTAATGGGAAAAAAACTTCCAAAATACACATTTAACTGTTTATTTTATTGCACTTTATCGAACTGCTTCTGTTTCGTTTAAAAGACATATTTTTAAGGGCCGTTTTCTTTTGCAAAAATACACTGTTTGTTTGTTTGTTTGTTTGTTTGTTTGTTTGTTTGTTTGTTTGTTTGTTTGTTTGTTTGTTTGTTTGTTTGTTTGTTTGTTTGTTTGTTTGTTTGTTTGTTTGTTTGTTTGTTTGTTTGTTTGTTTGTTTGTTTGTTTGTTTGTTTGTTTGTTTGTTTGTTTGTTTGTTTGTTTTTTAGGCTATTTTGCTTCCATAATTGTCAGATTTCAGATCAGTGTTATTTTAGCATCTTTGAGATACTATTATATTTTTTGTACTATTATAGTACAAAATTATACTATTATAATTTTGACATACTATTATAGTTTCTGTTAATATTTTGAAATAGATTTTATTTTGATATTTTCTGCTTTCATGTTCATTTTAGTTAAAGTTTTAGCAATTTTGTTGTGTGTTTTTGTAACTTTTATACATTTTTGTTGTTTTTAAATAAGTATATAGTTTTTATCATTTATATATTTTTGAGTTATTTTAGTGTGTCAAGTTAAACTAGATTAAAATGTTGCTTTTTTTATGGTTTTAGTTTTAGTTAACTATAATAACACTGCTTGAGTCTAATGGGAAAAAAACTTCCAAAATACACATTTAACTGTTTATTTTATTGCACTTTATCGAACTGCTTCTGTTTCGTTTAAAAGACATATTTTTAAGGGCCGTTTTCTCTTAGTTTGATGAGTTTGTTTCTCCACTTCATTAGTACTTACTGTGCATACACCATTTACAGTTTTATTCTTATTTATACATTCTGAAGGTTTTTATAGAGGGGTTTGGTCATATATCATTCACACTGATTTATAGAACATTGTAATCCTAAAAACATGGTGAAAATGTGTGTTTCTTTCTGGCTGTTTAAAGTGTTTTCTGATTTATAGAGTGATAAAAAGTAAAATCTCTGTCAAATCTTTCACTTTAATATGTCAACTAAATGAAACACGAATTTTGAATTAGATAATGCATCATTTGCATATTTAACATTTCAGAAAATTTGTAATACAAAACAATTGTCTTAAATGATTAATCACCTGGGGAAAGTATGCTGATATCTATTAGTTAGTTAATATGTTACCCTATTAACTTGTAGTGTCTTGCCTTAAACGGCTGTAGCAAAGAAGTCGATAAATAAGTTGATAATATCCCAGAATATTCCTTTAAACCCTTTAAAAAGCTGCAAAATGCATCAAACTATTAAACAGAACATCCTTGACAAGCTATGCATATATTCATGAATTTGAAATGAAGTTTTTGATCACATGGAGACTTTGATTTTGAGTGTCCAGGTGAAATCGATTGGTCTGATGCGTGACATGCGCTGGTCAATAACGGTCAGTCAGCTGGTCAGCGCCGCTCTGTCATTGACTATTTTGCAATAAGCACACTCTGAATGCAAAGATGCTGCCGGACCGAAGCGCTTCCTCTGGTGTTGAACCAGCTAGCGGCTGCAGTTTGACAGCGTGCAGTGACATGTTTTATAATTACTTTGAAGATCAGTTTTAATTAAAACGCTTGCGGATGAATATGCCCTTATGAACAAACATGATGCTGTCATAAAATTGTAACTGTGCCTTGTTGTGTTTTTTGTAGGTCGATCAGCATGCAAAGGAATATTTCAATCTAACATCGGACACTGAGTTCAAGGCCATCAAATCGATAGTCTTGGGAAAAGTGAGCGGTGAGTCAAATCACTGTAAACTGTCAGACGGAGATTTCCACAGATTAAATATTTGAATTTGAACTTCTAATTTTGAAATGTCCACAACGATTCAAAATGAATTTAATTGACTGCTCATATGGCAATGATTTTTGAAGCAGAATTTCAAAAGTTTAAACTAAATGATTTTTATAAAACATTTTGTTCAGGATGAGTTTTGAACTGCATGCATTAAAAGAAGTCTATTATTAGGAGGTTCGTTTTTGTTTGTTTCGTTTTGTTTTGCATTGTGACTTTTTTCATGACAATTAAGCATAAAACTGCATGCATTAAAAGCTGCCTTTTATTAGGATGTTTGTTAGTTTATGTATTTATTTTGCATTGTGACATTTTTTCATGACAATTAATCACAATTTGCCACTAAATTCTCATTATTTGTATATATATATATATATATATATATATAAATTTCCATAAAGTACAGTTGTAAGTAAATAGCATTGTAATATTTCTTATAATGCCTTTATTTTTTTCTGATTTTAATTAAAATTTTTGTTCAGGATGAGTTTTTGAACTGCATGAACAAAAGTTGTAGTGGTCCTAAAAATAGACTTAATTATATTTTTTTTAAGTTTAAGCTAAATGTTTTCATAATAAATGAGCAAAAACCAAAAGTCTTACATATGTGCTATTTGACAAGCAGTAATAATCTATTCTGAACATCACCAGAGTGTTTTTGTATTAAGGAGGAAATGTCTCTGAATCACAATCGAGTTCTGACCTCAGCGACATGCAGATGGTCAGTTAAGTGGCCATTATTATATTCATTTTAGAGGTTTTCTAAGCATCACGGATGCTGAAATGTCTGGAGGAAGCGGAAGCATCAGGAGCTTGTTTGTGCAGTCGGGTGAACTCTTCAATCTGAGTGAACAGAGTACGCGTTGTCCTATTTACTTCAGATAAGACTAATATTGACTTTACATGTTATTATTGTCATCTGGGGGGACGGCAAATGGGTCAGTTTAATTTTTTATGTCTATAAATAAGATCTGCAGCAGCTTTCTAGTCATAAAACCCGAATAGATGAATAAAACATTGAGTTAATAAATAATACAGCAGAAGTTTGAAAATACAAAGCTTGCAGGGGGAATCTCAGGAAGACGTTTTGTATTAAAAAAGTATTATTAGGATGATTTTTGTTTGTTTGTCTTTGCATTGTGACTTTTTTCATTAAAATGAAGCACAATATGCAACTAGCATTGTAGTTTTTGTTATACTGCCTTTATTTTTTCTGATTTTAATAAAACATTTTGTTCAGGATGAGTTTTGAACTGCATGCATTAAAAAAGCCTTTTATTAGGAGGTTTGTTTGTTTATGTGTTTATTTTGCATTGTGACATTTTTTTCATGACAATTAATCACATATATTCATAATATTTTTATTATATAAATATTTTTTTATTTTGTATATATATATATATATATATATTATTATTATTATTTTATTTTTTTTCCCCATAAAGTACAGTTGTAAGTAAATAGCATTGTAATATTTGTTATAATGCCTTTATTTTTTCAGATTTTAATTATATTTTTTGTTCAGGATGAGTTTTTGAACTGCATGACAAAAATTCATAATGGTCCTAAAAATAGACTTTTTTTTGCACAAATATAACATTGACTTTTGGAAATTATATTTTTGTAAGATTTACTGGCAGGGTTTACAGATATTAAGAAAATGAGGAGCTTTACGATTGCACATGATCAGTGAGCTCTGTTTTATTCTGTATCTCCCCCAGCAGTCATTTCTATAGTTACCCAAATATCCTCATGAGCCAAATTAGGCTGGTTCATTCTCTTCGTAATGATGTACAGGTCAAGTTTGGCGGTGTTTTATGGAGGGAAACATTCTCGCGGGGCAGCGTGTGCATCCATATGACCTTTCATATGAACATGTGACATGAAACACATTTGCTGTAACTCTTCAGATAGTGTGTCACTGAAAGCGGCCTGTGTGTCATTTCCAGCAAACACTATCGATCACGGCCAGAAATCGACTTGTAATGAATACTAAATCAAATGTGAAACCTGCATCGAGCTCCTGAAGATTAATATTACACCAGTTCTGAGCTGAAATGACTGCAAGCAGATGCTCAGAATCAAGCTGGAGAATAAGATCATCAGGTGCATGTCAAAATAGAGACACACCAAATACTGAGACCATTCATGCTCATTTTTCCATTTAACCTTGTAAAACTTGACATATGAAATAATAATTGAACCTGTAGACAAAATCTTTGAAAAAGTTTGCATATGCTTTTTTTGTTGAGTATCATATTTGATCCATCGAGCTTTTATGGCTCATAGTCAAGAGAGAATATTGAGAAAAGAACAGCTCAATTTTATTCAGTCTCAAACTGAGCAAAAATATGCAATTTGCCTTAGATGCTGATATTTATATGCTTGTAATGTAAATCAATGAGATCTTTATAACAGTAGAGCAGATATTCACATAAAATGCTCTAAATATCAGTCGTCGCTCTTTATCTCCAGTAATGTGTCTCAGTAAGATGAGATTGAAATGATCCAAACGTATAATGCAGTGATTGAGAGCTGAAGAAATAAAGGCTCCTCAGAAGATGTGAGATGTTCTGGAGGCTTGTGAAGATCATTCCTCCGCTGAGGAACAGTGAAAGTAAAGCTTCTGGAAACAAACGCTCCTCAAAAGATCCTGAGGATCAGATTTGAGACTCTAAAACATGAATGATGGAGAATCAAGTAAAGCTGAGCTGCTTCAGTCCAGTAAGTGTTCATCTGGAGATATCACTGCAGTTATTCTGACGCTTACTTGATCAAAATCAGTCAAGATTTGACAGCAGAAAGACACGCGAAGCTCCAGCTACTGTTACACTACAAGAGCTTTGACTGAGTAAACTCTAAACTATCAATCAGACGACAGAAGCATGGAGGAGATTGAGTGTGAAACAGGTTTAACAGCAAAGTTTTGATCATGTTGATCATTTGGAAGCCTAAAATTTGCATATCAAATACCACACAGTAGCTTTATAGGGTGAATTGTTCACTCAAACTGCAATGCTGATAATATAAAATGTAAAGTAAAGAGCAGACCTAAAATCTTGATGTTGAATAAAAAAGCTTCATGCGCTTGTTATCTGTCGACTACGTTGTGTTTTTTCTTTCCATGGGCCATCGAGCCGCCTGTGGCTCAGTGTCTGAATAAAAGCACTTTCATCAGGCTCGATGTGTTCAGTTCACTGCCGTTGCAGCGTGCAGTTTTCACTCGAGATGTTTGGTACAAAACCTGGATCGCATGGTTTTGTGTTCAGTCGCCGCTGTCCATGTACGTTTGAAGTGAGACTCGCATCTCGTTACAGAGGCTGTGATGAATGTTACCTGAGCTTAATGGAGTTCTCATGTTATGTGTCGGTAAATCTTGTTTCAGATGTTTCTCCTGAATTCTCTGAAATGAGTCAGTAGTTGACATACAGTCTGTAAAATGAATGTGGAAGCAGCTCAGATCATTTGGTCTTGGGAGAATTTGATGAGAAATGTTTGAGTTCATAACGAGATCTCTGACTTTTGATTGCAGATCTCTTCTGAAACTCAAGAGGAGACGTTTGTGAGTCTTTTTCTCAGGCGAAACATCTCAGAAGCAGGAAACTCAACCAAACATTTTCATTAGATCTCCATTTAATTGCTATCCTGGAGAAACCAATGAGATATTTTTGAGATCTATCACTTTATATTGCAGATTATAGTACCTTAGTAGGCCAGTTTGAGACAGTAGCTGTTTCCATCACCCGGTTTTTATGCGCATTTTGAAGTATTGCATCAGAAACGAGTGATGGGAAACGCCAAATTTAGACATTTTCATGCTCGCTTGAGGTAGTTTTTGACTTGTGCGAAAAAGAGTTAATGCGAATAATGGGAGATGGAAAACCATTTGCTGAATAAATTCCTCCATGAGCATCAAAAAAGTCATGTGACTTTGAGCAATGGGATGGCATAACTTGACTAACTGGCGGACTGATCTCTTTTCACGGCATCTGAAATGTTGTTATGGTCATTCTGAAATGCCTGAGCAAAGTCTGCGTCCTACTTTTCTTAGTGATATTTAGTGCCAATTTATCAGGAAGTGACAAGTTTGCTCTCTTTGACTTGTTGGATGGAAACGGTGCTTATTCGCAAATGTTTTATGTGATATTTCAGGTTTTTTTGCACACAAGTTAAATTCGCAACTTTGGATGGAAACAGCTATTGAGGTCTCTTCTGAAACTCAAGAGAAGACATGTGAGATCATTGAGTTTGTTTGTTTTTTTTCTCAGGAGAAAGATCTGAGAGGCAGGATACTTCAGAAAATCCATTAGATCTCCATTTAATTGCTATCCTGGAGAAACCATTAAGATAGTTTTAAGATGTATGACTTAATATTGTAGACTTTGCGATCTTGGTAAATCTGAGTTCAGCTGGAGATACTGAGATCTCATTGAAAACTCTAGAGGAGACATATGTGAGATTACATTTGTCTTTTTCGTAGGAGAAACATCTGAGAAGCAGGAGACTAAAACATTTCCATTAGATCTCCACTGAATACTCAAATGCACCTGTTCTTGTTTGCAGAGTCAGGTGAAGTGGATCCAGAGATCGCTCGTCTGAACGCCCTGGGCTTCACCGGCTGTTTGTCTGTGGTCCAGTTTAACTCCATCTCTCCGCTGAAGGCGGCTCTGCTGTATCCAGACACCAGTCCTGTCATAGTCACCGGACCGCTGAGCGAATCCAGCTGTGGCTCATCTTTACCCACCAACCCATATGCCGCTGAGACCACTCATTCACTCACAGGTACACCATCAACACTGACGCCCACTTCCTTCAATAATTTAGTTATAGACAGTCAAAATCCCATTCATTTTCTCCATAGGTGAATTGATTGTAAACAACTTTACAGACCTACTGTGAGCTCCGGGTTGTTAATCAATGTTCAATCAATGTTAATCAATAATACAGTGGGTACTGAAAAGAATCAGCCCTCTTTAAAGTAATCACAGTTTGTTGCTTTACAGCCTGAAATGAAGACGGACACAGTTTTTGTTTTTGCAGCTTATAACATCCAAGTGAAGGATAAAACACCAACATGTCAGAAAAATTTTTAACATAAAATAAACATAAATAAATTGTTTCTATGTAATTAATGAGCATTCATTAATTCAATAGTTTTATATTTCTCCATGATTTTTATTTTAAGTCATTTGCAATGCTTCACAGGATTGTAGTTCTTTCCCGCATTAAAGCCCTAAAGTTCAGTCTTGTATCTTTGTCTTTTCACCAAATTTAACTTTTTTTGATCCAAATCAAAGTTTGTAATGCTGTGATTCTCCTCATAGCTGGTTGGTTTGGTTCAAACACTTTTTAAAGATCTCTATGGGGAAAATTAATGGAAAAATACTTCCAAAACCAAAGATGTTGAAACACGTACATAGAACGATAGATAGATAGATAGATAGATAGATAGATAGATAGATAGATAGATAGATAGATAGAACAGTTATAGGCATCTGTATCTTCTTCAGGCTTTGTTTTCCAAACTTCTCTCTAGTTTGTTGAGTTTTTCTGGCCAGATTCCTGCTGAAAGTCGAATCTCAGCAAACTTTCGTTCGCCGGCTCACTGAATACATCCGCAGTGCTAATTAAATTAGAGCAATAATGATGGTAATGGCTGATCACTGTATTAATCTGCGTGCGAAAGACCTTCATTTGCATAATCATTTCTCGATTGCCTCTGCGTTTGTGCTGCATCGCTCCTTCATCGAGCAGCTCTGGCGTATTCAATGAGCCGCGACCTTCGAGCGATAAATGCTTCGTAATGCTGTGATTCTCCTCATAGCTGGTTGGTTTGGTTCAAACACTTTTTAAAGATCTCTATGGGGAAAATGAATGGAAAAATACTTCCAAAACCAAAGATGTTGAAAAAGTGTACGGCACTGACTCACTCTTTTGGTTTATTGGTCAAACCAATTAATTGTCTGATATTTTCTGTCTGTCTGTCTGTCTGTCTGTCTCTCTTCTCTGCTGTAGATCATGTGGGTTCAGTAAATACGGGTGAGCCAATAGTCAATGCTATCAACAGTGACTCGGCTTTGATCGGAGGTAAATAGTGTTGTAGAGCATGAAATATATACTCCATTCCTCATGTGTTCTCATTTCATTCATTATTATTTCGCTGCTTTTGGCTGATTTTTACTTGGTCTTGCTCTAGGAATGCCTTAAATTAACAATTTGCCCAAATCATCATTTACTCGTTCCCAGACGTTTAGACTTTATGTACTTTGTGGAAGACAAAAGGAAATGTTTACCACCTTTTTCCATTCACTAAGACTGTTAAGCTCCAAAAATGCAGAATTCTCCTCATAGCTGGTTGGTTTGGTTCAAACACTTTTTAAAGATCTCTATGGGGAAAATTAATGGAAAAATATTTCCAAAACCAAAGATGTTGAAAAAGTGGACGGCACTGACTCACTCTTTTGGTTTATTGGTCAAACCAATTAATTGTCTGATATTTGGCCTTTTTGAGGTCAAAATGGACTGATAATCCTTGTATCCGAACCTAAATCTACCAAGAGGCTTTGCCAATGGTTTAACTAGTTCTGTTTTAGTGAATTTAGAGTAAATATCGACTCAACTTATAGTTTAAACTGTGAAGTACACGAACGCAAGCACTTTAACGCAAACCCAGTTTTATGTGTCAGACTGAAATTCATAACTTTGCACATAAGTATATGTGGAGACTCCTAAATGATTGTGAATATGAGATATTATGTTTTAGATTGTCACCGCAAAAAATTATTTTCTTGTTTTTCATTACAAATATCTAGATACATTTGCGTGAGAAGCAAAAGGACTTAAGATGTCATTATTTGTGAAAAAATGTATCAAAATTAAGTGAGGGTTTTTTTTTTCTTAAAATTAAAAGAAATATCTGCCAATGGGGCAAGAAAAATAATCTTGTTTTCCATTTGCATTAACAGTATTTTTCTGACTCCACTGGCAGATATTTTTCTTGTTTTAAGCAAAAAAAACTTATTGATAATTTTTCAGAAAACAAGACTTAATATCTCAAATCATTTTGCTTCTCAATTAAATGTATCTTCAAGAATGTTTAGATATTTGTACTTGAAAACAAGACAAAAAACTAAGTAAGAAAATCACTTTTTTGCTCTATTTTAAGATTTTTTTCTCATTTGTGGTATTTGTGAAATTTGCAGTAAAAAAAATGTCAGCATTTTAAGTTTTAGAAAATGGAACTTGGAAAATGGAATATATATATATATATATTTCATAAACTGATATAATGTCAAAATACCAATCTACTGAGGGATTAAAATCTGTTTTATACCTTTGTAATATACTGACAACTACCATAAAAACACGTGGTAAAGATGCTCAAATACAAAAAATACCCATACAACACTAAAATAATGCAATAAACATTCTTAACTAGTTCTGTTTTAGTGAATTTAGAGTAAATATCGACTCAACTTATAGTTTAAACTGTGAAGTACACGAACGCAAGCACTTTAACGCAAACCCAGTTTTATGTGTCAGACTGAAATTCATAACTTTGCACATAAGTATATGTGGAGACTCCTAAATGATTGTGAATATGAGATATTATGTTTTAGATTGTCACCGCAAAAAATTATTTTCTTGTTTTTCATTACAAATATCTAGATACATTTGCGTGAGAAGCAAAAGGACTTAAGATGTCATTATTTGTGAAAAAATGTATCAAAATTAAGTGAGGGGTTTTTTTTCTTAAAATGAAAAGAAATATCTGCCAATGGGGCAAGAAAAATAATCTTGTTTTCCATTTGAATTAACAGTATTTTTCTGACTCCATTGGCAGATATTTTTCTTGTTTTAAGCAAAAAAAACTTTTGATAATTTTTCAGAAAACAAGACTTAATATCTCAAATCATTTTGCTTCTCAATTAAATGTATCTTCAAGAATGTTTAGATATTTGTACTTGAAAACAAGACAAAAAACTAAGTAAGAAAATCACTTTTTTGCTCTATTTTAAGATTTTTTTCTCATTTAATTTGGTCTGTTTAGTACTGCTGTTTTGTTGTAATTGAGTGTTTTAATGACAGTTGTCTTTAGGAACCTGTAATAATTGTGAAAGTTTAATAAAACAATCAATAAAACATTAAATTTACCATTAACATACAATCTTCTACTCTCCAATTTTGTCTTCCAGCTACTTTCATAGCAGCATAACACTTACAAAACAAAAATGTATAGGATATATCATATGAAATAGTGCTTATATTTTTAAATTAACTGCAATATATGCACGGGCCATGAATGGCTATAAATTGATTCATATAAAAAAATATCTAGTAATGAAGACAAAAACGGCATTACATCACTTTATTGAAAGAATTAATTTGTGTCTTGCTAATGCATGAGTTTACATAAAGGTGAACATTTATAACTTAATGGATAGGTGGATGGATGGATGGATAGATAGATAGATAGACGGCTAGATAGATAGATAGATAGATAGATAGATAGATGGATAGATGGATGGATGGATAGATAGATAGATAGATAGATAGATAGATAGATAGATAGATAGATAGATAGATAGA